AATAGAATTGAAGAAACGTTTGAGTTGGAGGAGAGCAATTCATTCTTGGTCCCAACACCCTTGGCACCACTGCCCATCTACTAAGAAGAGTGTCAACAGCACATACATTAACCATTTCAACTCCATCAAAATAAGCTCAGATCAACCACCAAGTACTGCTACTATATATCTCTGGGCCACTACCAGCAATTCACTTTAGACTTTTATATACACAAGTAAGCATCTATTCCATGATTCCATTTTTTGTCATAAATGGGTTCCGCACATTCTTAATTCAACTTTGCAGTTTCCACTTTCCACAACAATTATATGTATCCTTTTTCTTTCTCTTTAATTCCTTATTTCATAAAAAATATACTAAAAAAAGATCATAACAAACTGGTTTTTATTGAGATGAGATTATCAAGGGAAGAAAGAATTTATACCTTCATTACTAATAAATGGATTAATTATATTGAAAAGAAATCAAAATGGTAATTGAAACTATTGATCAACTTTAACATCCTAGCATAAAACATAAAGTCAAAACTTTACCATAGTTTGATGCCAGTAAGTTGCTAAAGGCTAGATTTAGAGATTTGAGAAATGGAAGCTCACTCAAAAATGATAAGTTACTATTATTCAACATATTGTTGTGTAGGTCAAGGATTTCTAAATTTCTCAACTTAGAAAGCCTCTCAAAACCTGCAATATGTACAATTACTAATTCAGTTTTGGAGCCACACATAAATATTAAGATGAAACAATAAGTAAACAGGTTTCAATAAGTAAAAATGACAATTATACCGTCAGCATGGTTAGATCCTCGGAATTTGTTGTCACTTAGATATAGAGACTTGAGAGATGGAAGCTCACTCAAAATTGTTAAGATACTATTGTTCAATTGATTTATTGATAGATCAAGAATTTCTAGATTCTTCAACTTAAAAAGCTTCTTGAAACCTGCAATATGCACAATTATTAATTTAATTTTGGAGCCACACATAAATATTAAGATGAAACAATAAGGAA